CTTGTCAGCTGATTCAAATCTGATGAGGAGAGATATTCTGAAATTCAGCTTGTGATTGTTAGACTTAATTGAGTCATGTACTGCAAAAGGTTTTTTTACATCAGTGCTTGAATAATTACTAGATGATTGCTTATTAACTTTGGGTTTGGGGGGGACTCTTTTTGATGGTTTATTGTTCAATGTTTGGTTCACTTGGAGTCATTTTGAGCTTGTTAAAAAATAAAAACCACTTTCATTTGGGTAAATATGTTGTGTTTTGTTCTAAATTAAGAATGGACTTATGGATAAATTGATTTTTTTGAAAAGTACATTAGAAGTAAATGGAATAAAAATAAATTAAAATCCAGAATACCACCTGTCACCTGGTACTCAAGTTAATTAATTTTCGTATTTATCATTCATTATTAATTAATTTTGGACAATTTCGTTAAAAATTCATTTAAAAAAACGAAAGGTCATAGGAATGTGACATTCAATTCTTTGTAAATATCGAAAATTTGCAGGACAAGTTTTAAAGTTTAGAGCATCTCCAATGCTCACATATAGCTCTAGTAAATTACATTTTACATTAATAAATTTAGCAATTTATTCACTTTAAATCCAATGCATAAATGATCACAAATGTAGTGATGAGGTGGACATAATTAATATATACAATATAGAAAAGACACATTCTAACCAACCACTGAAGAGGGGAGAGATAAATATTACTATCATTTTCAAAATATCTAATTGTTTAATTTATTCTCTTTCTTATTCATAATTTTTTTATTTTGGCCAAGTGGACAATATTGTGTTGGATTACATTGTGCATTGGAGATAAATTTTATTTATAGTTTTGATTTAACAATTATCTTACGTGACTCACAATCTATCTAGTTAATTGACATTTATCAAAATATATGTAATCACAACATTTATGCATTGCAGATGCTCTTAAGCCCATACCTCCTAACTATGACGACATAACTGTGAATATGTTTATATGTGATTTGTAGAAATTAACCATCATTGTTCCACTATAATAAGTTGCTAATTCTCAACATGGACTAATAATAGTGAAAAATCGAACTTATGTAAGAAATAATAGTTGAACTATACCGCAACATAAGATAATCTAAATTGCATTCCAATATATAAATAAATTTTCCACTAACACACTGGATTACACTATTCGGCTCGATTTTTATATTTCTACTCAGTTTTGCTCACAAAAGCAAATTGGGTCATTTTCAATCTTTGGCCCAACCCAAGAAAATCCTCACCACTTAGACGGAGGCCCGAAATCAACAAACACAGCTTCGTGTGCCTAAATTACCCTTTATCTTTCTACCTAACTACCTAATTACCACAACCATTTTCTAACGGCTATTTTGAGACGAGCTCCAAATTTAAGAAAAATCAGTCTCAGCCCTTCTTCACAAACGCTCTTCGTCTTCCTCTTTGCTTCTTCAGATTTAGCAGCAAACAATCAACAGAAGCAAAAAATATCATTACTTTTCCCGAAGGGTTTCATCAATGGCGGAATATCAGCAAAGCTCGAGCAAATTATTCTCGATATCTTCGTGCGAGGATCGAGGTTCGTTCGGCTCCTTAAATTCAGAAGCTTTCGAAGGAGACGAGGAGTTTTACGAGGAGATCGAGGCGCCGAAGTTCGTCGATTTCACTGCGCCTGACCATTACTGCCCTGACGATCGTTACTGGTTTTGCGGCCGTGTTGGTTAGTTTTTGAAATTCTGTCATTTTTTATTTTTATTTTTTTGCATTTATTTTTTCTTTCGCTGCTTTTTTCAGCTGATGAGATTGGTTCGTTCATCTGGTAATTGCAGTTGGATTTATCTAGAATAATTGGGGCCACCGTTATCTAATTACTAAAGAAAGATAGTCTTTTTAACCTGCAATTTTGTGGAAGTCACTTAGGAGAGGAAAGTTGTATGTATGCTCCTTGAAATGGAGTATTTGGTGTTGACAATTTGAAGATAAACTATTTATGTTTGGGCATTGTAAGTCGTATTTTCGGTTTTTAAGAAAGCTTGACCTCTTGAGAAAAAAAGTATCTTGTGTTTGTTCAGGCTTTTAGTTTGTATCAGATGATTGGATTTCTATGTTATGAGTAAGTTGTTTGCTCGAATATTAGCTCGAATTCGTTTCCCAATAAGTCGAAATCATTCAGATACCTGCTAGCTGATTTCAATTTTCAGAAGTCCCATTAAAGAACATTCTCTTTTCTTTCTTTCTTTCTTTTTTTATATATATATCTCTTTTTAACATTCTCAAATTCTTAGTACTCAAGAATCTTAATTAACTGTGTTTGTTCAGGATGTGACCAAAAGCATGAGGAAGAAATGGATTCAGAGGCAATCTACAAGAAATTTGTCCTCAGGGTTGGAAGTTTTTGTCACTTTTAACTATTTCTTAGTAATAAATGGAAAAAAAGAATGAATATAGATAGGCATATAAAACTGTTACATTTGCAGTTCTGTGGATATATATGAAATGTTCTTTGCTGCAATGCATTTGTTCAAAACACAGGTAATGGCAGCTAGGAGTCCCAACGTAAGGCTACGAAAAGCACTCGATAGAAATACCACAAGGTAAAAAGTACATCCTATAATTTTGACTTGCGGTGGTGGTTCGATTTTTCTGCATTTAGTAATGACTGTTTAAATGGAATTATGTTTCGCCAGAAAATCCCCACTTTCAGCTCCTCCGAAACCTTCCAAGCCAAGATTATCAACAATGGCCATTGGTGAAAACGGACGAGACCGAGAAAGAACTGTGAGGCCCGTTCAGAAGCCCGTGTCCACACCAGTGATGAAAACAAAGCCCGTTTCGGCTAAGTATCTCACGACCCCAAGGAATAAGAATTGCACGCCAAACCAAAATCCCTTTCGCAGTGTACAGATTCCGAAGCCTGCAACAGACACTGATAAGGACTCGAAAAATAGTAGAGCTGTGGCTAAAGCACTGGTTTTTAAATCCCCGAAGAAGAAAATAATAAAGGTGAAGGCTTCTGTTGAACTCCTCCGCACTCCATCCTCGAGATTATGTCAAGGAATGAATAAGCTTCATATTTCGAACAAATCGTCAAAGAGTTTGAACAGAAGTTGCTCGAGCAGACAATTAAGTGATCGGAAGGTTCAAAGGAAACCTGAGGAGATGATATGTATTAAATCTTGTGCTAGTAAAGAATCTGAATCTGGAAAATCTATTAAAAATAAGACCAATGGAAAGATATCGAACGGAGAAGCTCGTTTGCCTTCACTGGGGCCACCATCTATGCAGAATTCAGGAGATTTCGCCTTACCAGATGATGATTCAAAAAGAGACCTTGAAGGGAGTGAGAGTTCAAGGTCTAAAGTTTTAAATGAGCAGGATAATAATAATAGCAATATTGTGAATGATTCATTTCAAGATATAAGAGAGAAGGATGAATACATGGATGATGATAATAACAAAGAAAATGCTACAGCCTCTGATGAAAACAGGTAAGAAGCTTCTGAGCACATTTCACGTTTTCCTTTTCCTGTGTCTTTTTATTTTCTCACCAGAAATTATTATATCTTTATCGAACAAGTTAGGTGCTTATTAGTGGCATTTGTTTGCAGGATGCGCAGCAAGAATCCAAAGCAAAATGGTAAAAAAATATTTGCCATGCACGATCAGTGCAGTCAAGTTAAAAAGAAGGTCTCAATGCATTTCTTTTCTTCTTTTCCCTTTTTCAAAATTTTCCCCTATCACATTCAAGATTCACATTGCTATATATTTTTTTTGGGAAATAGGTTACTCAAGCACAGGATAAGATCCCAAAAGTGGGCTTGATGATTGCCTCTAGCCCAGTGGTGAAGCTCAATAAACCGAAGCCCACAAATCCTAAACCATTTAGGCTAAGAACTGATGTAAGCAATCTATACAACATTTGGCTTTGTTGAAAACAGACATTGGAGAACTCTAATGAAATTTTGCAATCTTCAGGAGAGAGGGATTCTTAAGGAAGCTAGCCTGGAGAAAAGAGCAACCTCAAACACACTTAGCTTGAAACTGCACAGAAAACCAGAAAATGACATTCAGGCAAGTAATATTTGTTTTAAAATTTTCCCCACTTGGCAAAAATTGTAAATGGAAAAAGATATAACAAAAGCAGCAAAATAGAAGCATCGATCACTTGACATAAAGAGAAGTGAAGATAATACATATTCCAATTTCTTAGTGTGTTAATGCAAAAAACAGTTGAAGATTACAAGCTCATATAAAAACGTGTGCAGGGACTTGAGATGCCAAAAGGGCAACAAAGATCAAAATCAGTAGCTTCTTCATCGATTGCACCAGAAAGTGAAAAACATCAGGAGAAAAAAAAAGTGGTCGCGAGTTCCCCTCTCAAGAGCAAGGCAATGCAAAGGTTGGAGAAATTTAGGAAAATCAGTTCTTCTGTTCAGAAACTTTCTGTTCGGCCTCAAGGGTAAGTTATAATTCTTGTTTTCCTTCTCAAACCATACTTGAAGAAAAAAAAAAAAAAAACTAGAAAAGAAGTTGACTGTTTTTGGGATTAAGAAAATTTTTCAGGGTCGTTTCAACAAACAATGATGAAATGGTTTCCTTCCTGATTCCCGGTCAAAAACTCGACGTCATTCACGAAAATTCTCCTGAGGTTTTGGAACTAAAGAGAGCCTCAAAGACAAATGCAACTCCAACCCAAATGCAGCAAGAACATGCAGTAAGAAAGTACAATAGTTTTACGTGTGTCCCTCACAAGTAATTCTTCCGAGTTTGAATTGTGTGTGTGTGTTGTACGTAGCAGTGTTACGTCAGTTTTCTTCATTCGTTTATTGAATTGTATTCATTTCTTGGCCATTGTTTTTCCAAATATGTGTTTCAGAGTGAAAAATTCATCAAGAAGGTATTTATTTTGGTGTTTTCTTGTCGTAGTCTGCGTAATAATATCAAATTGTAATAGAGAGGGTTTATTAAATTGTGACCACCTTGTTGTAACTTTGGAGAAGAAATTATTCATTTTATTTACATACAGATTTTTTCGCTGAATTTCATTTAATAAACGAGCAAAGTCTCGGCTCGATCTTGGCTCATTTAAGCTCGTGAAATCTCAGCTGGTTTCAAAAACCCAAAATTGTAAATGAGAGGCGCTCATGAACAGTATTTGTGCATTACATGCTCGACTCGTTGGGTTTGAGCCAATGATAAGCATCAAGTAGCAATTAGTTGTTGGGAAGTAAATAATGGATATACGACGCGTTGAACATTTTACAGACAACTTTGTCTATGCCTTATTATGGGGAAAAATATAGAAACTTTTACAGACAACTCAATGGCGCTTTCTGTAGAAACCACACCACAAATATTTGTCTATCAAGAAACTGGGGATTTGTTCAGTAATCAGCATCTTCCTCGTCTCTTTATTAAATCGAAGTTTTTCTATAGACACGGGGCCGTTGGGTAATGACGTGGAGATGATTGACCAATAGGAATCGAGAGCTTGATTGAGAGGCGTGGACAGGTGGGTAGAGGGTGGATTTCTTGTGAAAAAATGAAAGAAAAAGTGAAAAATAAAAAATGGCGTCGCCCGGACTCGAACCGGAGACCTTCAGTGTGTTAGACTGACGTGATAACCAACTACACCACGACACCAGCTGGCATTTTTTTAGAAAATACTAATTGTTAGAAAAATCTTGGGTAAGAGTTGAAAACACACCTACATTTAGAAGTACCATATTAACGTACCCTATAATATGAATCGTTGAGGTTCATTCTTCTCCAATTCTTTGAGGTTCATTTTCCTAATAATTTTCGGTCCATGTATTAAAATCAAAAAATTAGTTAACAAATTTATATAGTTGGGATCATTCTTCTCCAAATATTTTATTCTTTCGCGTTTAACTTTGTTTTCCTCTTTCATTCTTCTCCCAATATTTGATAATAATTATTATACTAGTACAATACTCGTGTATTACATGAGAGTTGAATTAAACACTCGTACATTAAATAAAAATGTCAACCCGTGTTGAATTTTTTTACTTATATCGTATAAAAATATTGATATTATTTACTATTACAAGCCAAGACTTTTTCAAAACGATCGTTTCATATACGCTCGGGCTCTCCGCAATGGATAACCTCTCACTGAAGTACAAAAATATATATCTTAAATAAATAGAAATAATATGGTGATATGTATATGCATAAGTGTAGAATATGTATTTAATATTAAGAAAAATAGATTAATTTTTTTAATTAATTAAATGTCTAATACATCAAGTGTGTATCAGTCGTGCTTCACAGTTTTTTTAACTTTATATGTAATTTTAGAATTTAGATAAATAATTATTTATTTTTATTAGATTGACAACATACTAATTAGATTTGAAATAAATATCATTTTTAAAAGAATACATACCAATTTCTATTACTTTATAATATAATTTATAGTCTTATTTGATATAATTTAATTTAGTTTGATAAATAAATTTAAATTTTATTTATAAGAATATATATTACTGTTTTGTATTTTATATATATAATATGGATGTCAAATCAAAACTCCTTAAAAACTAGTTAATTTGATATATCATATATGAAAAATAAAATACACACAAAAAAGTTATAAAATTTTAAAATAAGAAGAAGCATTTATAAAAACTAATGAATGAATTATATAAGAAAATGAAATGTGATGTATGGTATGTAGAAAAATGAAACATAAAATTATTTATGGTAACTAATTGTAGAAGTAAAGAAGAAAATCAATCATGGATTTAGTGTAATAAAAAATATTAATTTATATCCAAACTTAACTTCAAAGTATACTTTTTTGCCAATTAGAATTACGAAGCATGAGAGTTTGCCACGTAGGCTCAGCGTATTCTGAAATTATATATAGAGGAGATATGATAGAATAATTAAAAAATATAATTATTGCTGAATAACATAAAATATAACTATTATAACTCAACCAAAAAACAAAAGCAGAAAAATAATTTTTTTTCATTAAATTTTGTGTTATAGATGTTTAACTTAATACAAAATTTTCAATAAACTATTATTATTCTTATTTCTTTGTTCTTATATTAAGCTATCTTCAGCAATAAGAAGAAGCATTTATAAAAACTAATGAATGAATTATATAAGAAAATGAAATGTGATGTATGGTATGTAGAAAAATGAAACATAAAATTATTTATGGTAACTAATTGTAGAAGTAAAGAAGGAAAATCAATCATGGATTTAGTGTAATAAAAAATATTAATTTATATCCAAACTTAACTTCAAAGTATGATTTTTTGCCAAATAGAATTCCGAAGCATGAGAGTTTGCCACGTAGGCTCAGCGCATTCTGAAATTATATATAGAGAAGATATGATAGAATAATTAAAAAATATAATTATTGCTGAATAACATAAAATATAACTATTATAACTCAACCAAAAAACAAAAGCAGAAAAATAATTTTTTTTCATTAAATAGCAGAAATAATTTTTTTTTTTCATTAAATTTTGTGTTATAGATGTTTAACTTAATACACAATTTTCAATAAACTATTATTATTCTTATTTCTTTGTTCTTATATTGAGCTATCTTCAGCATTCAGCAGCCATTTTTTTCCTTGGTTTCATACATATCAAGATTTATAATTACATATAAATATATACTAATTGTTCAACTTGTATTCACCATCACATCAGATAGCGAACTTCAAAGTACGTACGTCAAATATTTTGTAATCCCTTAATTGAAATCCCAAACTAAAATGATTGCGAGGAATTAATTGCAATATTATAAATAGAGCTGTCACCATTAGTTAGCGAATTGTGATACTCTTGGAATTGACTAATGATACAGTTAATTTAAAGAAACCCTAATTAATTTTTCTCTATTATTAAGGGTTGGCATAATTAAGATACTAAATTTGGTCGGAAAAAGACGAGAATTAGTCTTGATCGATCGATTGCGTGAGAAACTGAACTAGGCATTAATCACGAGATTGGATATTTTAATAATGGGTCAACTTACTTCATGTTGTTCATATGATAGATGAAATCAAATATTCCCTCATATTTTTATTATTTGTTATTCTAACTTAATTGACCATTTGTTAAATAAATATTATTTTGGCTATTTTATACATATTTTTTCATTATTACTCTCATCTAACTAATAAATACACTACGTTTTTTCATATCCATATTTTCTCAAAACATCCATCTCTATTCTCATTAATGAGCGTTATTATTGGCAAAAAAAATATTCTTAATTACTATGCAACTTCTCAAAACGACATTTATTAAAAATAGGAGGGAGTAATTTTTATAGTTAACTAGATATCTTCATTTTATTAAACAGATGATGAAATATGATAATTTTAATAGTTAAATATCTACATAACTTTTATTTTATTAAAAATTAATACTAGTTATGTAAGTGAGATCTTGTTAATAAAAATGATGTTTTACTAATTTAATTTTTTTAATAATGTACATATACGTAGGTTCTAATAATAACAAACTCTGAAGTGTGAATCGTGAGAACCAAAACACTATAACAAATATCTATCTAATTCCAACATAAAATTCAACATAAAAATTATTAAAATATTCAATTGTGAGATGACCCACATCGTTTATGTAGAGAAAATAAACCTAATTATTTATAAGTCTGATGGACTACTCCTTCTTCCACTAATTGATCTTGGGATGAAATCTCACTTGGCTGGCTTTCCATAAACAAAGAAAATGCTACAACTCACAGGTAAAATGCTAGTACAATTTACGGAATTTTTCCATCAATTATGTTTTCTTCAAGAGCCTAACAAAAAAAAGAAAAACAAAAAGAATAAAAAATGATGCTGCAATTCAATAAGAAATATAGAAGTGGTGCGGTTTATGGTTCACACTTATTGCGTTGACCTATTCGTCATATGAAAATTCAAACACACAAGCTTTCTCCGAACAATATTAATATTTGCACACTCTTATAACTCGAATAAAATTTAAAGAATACAATATCTAAATATACAATTTGAAATGTACTGCAAGAGTTCTTTGTTTTCCGTCTTTAATGATTTTCATGCATATAGAGGTATCTATATCTATATATATATCAAAAGGTTTGATTATTTTTTTAATAGTAACTATTTCTCTTTAAAAGAAATTATTTACTATTTTGGGAAATTAATTTAACAATTTATGTTATATTTCAAATGATCACATATGATAATTGCGGTTCATTATTTAAGGAAGTAATTGTCATATTTTAAAATACCTTAATTACTCAAATCATTTGACTTAATTAATATATGGTGGGTGTATAGTAGATGAATTTATTTTTGATATTGATGATTATTTCTATAGGAAATAAATCAATCAATATATGGTATAAAGGGAGCAAATTTATTTAGGTTATTTGATGACTGTTTTTTGGTGAAATTTCAAATTTATTGAAAAATTAATCAATATATGGTGTACTTTTTTATGTAATGTGCACAGGGGCGGATCCATATGTAGGTGAGTTGCCTAGGCTCAATTTTTTGTGCTAACATAGTTAACATGTACTAATAAAAAGTTTATATTTAATATGAGCAAAAATATAAATACAAGTTTTTATTTTAAAATTTTAAATAATTATCACAAAATAACATTATTGTTTTTATTTAAATTGATGCACTTCACCGGTCAAATTCGACGATATTATATTACAACGTTTTTAGTACTTATACCATATAATAAGCTTGATAGATAAATTTATTGTTTTTTTAATTATAACTGATAAATATTTAAATTTTTATTGATAGAGATTAGATAGATATTTTAATTTACATATAAAATATGAATGTCAAATTATAAATTGTCAAAATATGACTAATTTAAGTCATCATATATAAAAAATGATAATATGTATAAATGTTATTGACTTTTAAAATATATTTACAATTTAAGTTACCCAAACATTTAAATTTGAAAATTCTAGATAAAGATCCATATTTGTATGAACTATTTCAAATCCTTAGGAATTAACATATAGAATTACATAGCGTTTGAAATCTACTACTATATAACTAGTATGAGTCCCGTGCAGTGCACGGGTAAGAGATATTCATTAATATTTATAAATTAAAAATTCTTATTAAATAATATTTTTAAATAAAAAATATAGAATCAATATGTAATACAATTTAACTATATTAATTTATTGAAAATGTTACAAAGTTTAAATTGTGCAAAATTACATAAAAATGTTTATTTAAAATAGTATACAACCTGTGTGGTACACATAACTGATAGTAAATTAAATTATATTTGTTTCAAAATAAATATCGTTTCAAAATTTTTATTCAGAAGATCGATTTGACTATATGTGATTATCTAAAATAGTTATTTTGATAAAATGTTATCATATATTTAACAACATGTGTGAATAATAAGTATAAATATAAAATTTATATTGTTTCATGACTTGAAATAACTTATTATTGGATAAACAATTCAAATAAAAAAAATTAAGTAGTTGAGTAATTAATTAAACTATAAATAATTGACTATTTCTTTTATGTCCAAGTTAATATTGACCCGTAAGTTATTGAATAATGTATTAAATCATAAATAATTAACTATTTCGTTTACGTCCAAGTTAATATTGACCCGTCGTAAGTTATGAATAATTATTTTTTATTTTTAAATTTAAATAAAAATCTTTTTACTTTTTTCAATATATTATATACCAAATTTAAACCATGCAACTAATAAAGGTAATAGTAGCAACTTTTGTCAATATATTATATTCCAAATTTAAATCATGCAACTAATAAAAGTAATAGCCGCAATATTTAACCAAAATGATTTTGTCATTCTGTACATTAAGTTATGCGGAATTTTTCAAATTTTGGCAAAAAATATTACTCAATATAGTAAATACTTTAAGCGGGAACCAAATATTTTTTTGCTGATTTATATACTCCCCCAAAGCAAACACAAAAGAAAACACCCTCCTATTTATATATGTTACTGTTTAGTTCATAATTCTCTTTTCTTGGTTCCCCTGTAAATCCTTGTGTTTTTGTTGACTTGGAAGGTGTTGAAATCTCGTTTATTGCAATGGAAAACCGAGCCGTGGCCCGTCCGATTGGCCTCAGTTCCTATACAGATTGGGCCTTATCGAGCACCTGTACTCGGGCCACAAGCCGAATGCATTTGCCGAGCAGTTAGAAACCTCCAGCGAAAGCCCATTTGCCTTCCCCTGCACCATTCTCGTCCTCAGAAAATTGGGCTCTGGCAAAAGCTCGACCCTCAACTCCATACTAAATGGGCCCGTTTTCGAAGCCGGGCCCGGTGGAAATCACTGGAGTTATAAACAATGTACACATGGTAAAAAAGAATAGTAATACAAAAATTCAGTTCCTGCGTATTTTTTGAATTTATTTCATGCTTTATTTTCAATTGATTGTTGATTTCATCTCTCATTGCCTCGTTACAGTGATGCCATGCTTCTGCGTATACCCACAAGAAGAGAAAGTATCCAAAAACGTTACTAATGAGAGTTCCAAAGCATCCTTTCTCTCAGTTCAAAAGTTTTATCACACTTCTAAAGATCAGTTAAATGGAGAACCATATAAAGAAGAGAAATATGAATATGACAATGCATTGAGTGCCGACAGGACTTACTTGAAATTCAAGAAACGAATGGATTCATACCCAGAGCAATGCTTTAGGTAAAAAACCTCAAAATCAAACTTCATGACCCTTATCCTGTTAAAAACACTAATAGAGACATGTTTATACATTATAAGTTGTACCAATTGAAAGTAATAATTTGGAATATCTGAAACTCAAGGGGATACGTTATAAAAAAATCTATCAAGCTTAGTGTCTGTGTCTCCCAGATGACTTCATTACATTTTCTAAGCAGCTGGATTATTTTTTTTTTTGGATCACG